TGACAATTATTCCCTGCATTCAGTGCACGACAATACATGAGACGGCTACTATCTCTATGCACGTAATTAAACTGCTGCATTATGTTTTCAGTTCTCCAGTATGTTCTTCTCCGCTCTTTAGTTGATATAATGATTCTATTGAACTACATACAGCATTTATATAAAGGCAAATAATGTCTCCTATAACATCGTACAGCAGACGCTGTTGCTTTGTCCGCATCATTTTGTTAAATCATGTCTTGCCTCAGGAGAGCACCCCCCCAGGTGGTTTACAGGCGGTAGAGGGGGATGTTTGATGTTGAATTGGTAAGGGGTGAGAAGCTGGGACATGCAGTAAAACCAGGCAGTTTTCCAATGTAAGGGGATGTTCTTCAGTTCTGGTGTATCTGAAAGAGCTAAAAGGAGTTATTAACCCTTCAGTAAAGCTCATCTTTAATATTCTCATCTCCTTAGCAACTTTATACAGGATTCTGGATTCCTTTTTCATAAGGATGGAGGGAACTGAGCTTTTTATATTCCAGTGTAAGTGTAATGCTTTATAAAAGGTTTTAGCTGGCTGCTAGGCAATATGGCTATTCTGGACGCATGATTAAAGGCTTTATAATCCAAAGACATTTCACATGACATGAGTAAATAGCCCACACTTGAAATATGATATTGGTTCCACATTTACCAAACAACCGTAATAAAAGCAGTAAATGTACCTGCACCTTTCAAACAGATGCTGCCAACATCAGGCTGGAAACGTATTACCCAGATTGCAGTTTTTTGCAGCAGTCATCAGAAATAAAGCTTTTTTTCTAAAGAGAAAGAGAACTGTGCAGTTTTCCTGGTCCAGAACCTTGGTTGTTTACTGGGTGGTTTCCAGTTTTGGTCTCTGACAAAGGGAAGACAGGTGTTTGGCAGAAATACAGACCTTTAGAAGCCTTGGGAAAACATCGGTAGGTTGTCCTCTGACTACAAACAATCTGGAGTTGAGTTTCCTCAGACTGTTGTCCAGGTCCTCCAGAGCCTCCAGCAGAAATCTGCACACAGACACAGAGAGGAGAAATGTACGTTATGAATAAATATCCCCCACTTTCATAGCAGCATGAATAACAGTGAGGCATTGGTTGTTTCTCAGCAGTGATAAGATAGCAAAGTATTTGAAACCTGTGCAACAACACACACTGGATGTTATGGACATAAACTGAATGTCAGAGTCAGGAATGATACAGCTAAACACACAGAGGACGAAATGCAGCATAGGAGGGTTGATAGTTCAACCATCTGTAGTACCTGTCACACTAGTGCACCTTCTAATTAGCTTCCTGTGACACTCTTTCATCATTCATTCACAACTTAGCAATTTAATCGTCATCGACTGAAATCTTGTCATAATCTGTTAATCAGCGGATAGGTAAACTTAGAATTATAAGTTTGAAACCACAATGTGAAAAACTTAATTTTCTATTGACAAACTGTGATGGTCAAGTTGTACTGGGTTTGAAGAAAATGGTTCATTCATGGACTAAACAGTGGACTGTTTTTGTTAATTCTCCAAAACTGAAATCAATCCAGACATATATTACTGAGACAAATGTGACAATAAACTAAGACACTGATTAATTTAAGCATTTATCAACCAGCCTTTCATCCAAACAGACAAGAAGGACTCACAGTTTATTAACCTTATCTGACAACTATTTGTCAGACAATAATAATACAGAGTTAGGCCTGTATTTTATGGCTTCTGATCAAAGGTGTATAATAGATTAGTGGGTTACTGGAACCTGCTGACTTTCAGCCAGCTCGGCCCTGACCAGTGGCCTGCTGGTCCTCAGAAATATAATCCATTTTGTGCCGTTTTCACACTCACACGAGTCGTTTCATGCCGTGCGCAACACAATACAAACAGTAATGGACAGTCACACACATTACAAGATAACAGCAGTGTAGACGTGAGGAGCCCATCAAAGGTTTGACATCAGGAGGATAAACAGTTGCTCCTCTTGGCTTTAGAGTACCTCTCTGTCAATGGCGGGATTTGGGAGCAAGCAGGTTCAAATATAATTTAATTAAAATCCCCTTAATTTTATTTAGCTAAGGAGGCACACTTAAATGATACAACCTCAGTGTATGAGAGTGAAGAATCACTTTGTAGGAAATATTATCAATCAATATTGATAATTAACAAAAAATAAACATGATACAAACTCTTACCGCTCAGAGGCAGACAGGTAAGAGTCTGTAAATTGATCATTTCTTCATGAGAATTCAGCCAAAGAGAGTGAAGCAGTACACTTCTGCTTCTATCATTTGTTACATTAATGAGTTACATTAAAAAGATTTTTTATTACGGCTGTTTGAATCTTTCTAGAATGTGAAAATGTAATGCAGAGAAGGTGATTCATGTTTTATTTTTAAAGATAATTTAATACCTTTGTTTGGTTTTACTTTAGGCTACACATGTAAAAACATTCCCGCCATAAAGTATGGTATATAAATACAGGAGAATACAGGTAACACAGGGTTTGACAATCCAGATGTTCCAGTGGAGATTAGATTAGCGTGAGAATGAGAAAAGTTCATGTAAACTTTGGAGTTTTTAATTTTTGGGGGGGAATTAACTGTTACTTCACAGTCAGTGTTTTACTATGAACAGAAAAATATATTGACATTACAGAAGAGTTCCAAAAATCATTTGTTTTTGCTGTCAATTGTAGTGCTATAAAGAAAGAAAATCGGTTCTTGCGAAAAATCTGTATCAGCTGGTCAAACCAGGTAAAAATAGAAAATTGCAGAAGGCCACAGAAATTGCAATCGGTGCATCTCTACTTCTTAGGTCTGTTGGTCATTGTTTACAGTCCAAATGACAACATGAGGTGCAAGAATGGAGATGGGAGGTAAAGTCTACAACTGCATTTGTTATCTACATTCCTCTGCAGATATCTGTTAACAATGATCAACAACAAGACTCTCAAGTGTCTTCACACAACATCTAGTGACTTCTTAAGACTGTAGTTCTCCCTCCTTGATAACAGACCACTAGATCACTGGGGTTTTTTGTTGCAAAAGTCAGTTTAAAAAAAAAAAAAACCCATTAGGTTGTTATTTTATACATTACTAATGTGAAATTTAATGTGATCATCAAGCCGTCTTTATTTGTCAGACTAAAATCATAACATCAAAAGCCCTTATTTAATCCTTCATGTTCACCAGGAATGTATATCAGATCATAAGCTTCACACGAAATCCTTCATTTTAAGAAGAAACCTCCATTCATCACATCTGTCCAGTGTCTGTCTGCGTGTCAGCAGCAGATGTAAACACAGTGAAGCCTTCAGCCCACAACATACTGCGCCATCCAGTTTTTACATAATTACAATCCAACAGGTTGCTTACATAAAATGCAATAATTAAGGTGAGGTTTGCGTGTTACTACCGTGACCACTTTTCAGTATTTTGCACTAAACACCTCAAGTTGTCAACATTGTGGACTTGTTCTTTCTAATATTATTCATGTCTTTAGTACAAATCTAACGCGTGTTTACTAGTTCACCTCTTTGCCAAGAGTACGCGTACACACTAATACTTTCATAAAAACATGGCCATCGTCTAGTTGTGAACAGTTTTCATTTATTTCGCATGTCAAAAGGCTGTTCGTGTTTTGGTGTTGGGCTTAGCACGGCAATATATACATTTAAGCTAAGAGTTAGGTAAAGAGTTAGCTTTAGCTATCTGCGTGGGGCGGAGGCCTAAGCCTTAAAAATCAAGCATTGCTCGTTTATTAGGTAATGTGTTCAACAACAATTCATCTGACAAATTGTGTAAACGTCATTTGTTGTGTTTAACGAGTCTTAAATGTGTCCCAGGTTGAATTAAATCACAAACCTCCATCGGTTGATTCCCACATTAGCGGCACCAGCAAACCACGGGTCGAGGATATAAACACAGCGCACCGTGTCCGCCGCGTTCAGGGCCTCCTGCAGCGCCGGATTATCATGCAAACGCAGCCCTTTGCGAAACCAGTGCACTGAATTCACCACCATGATGACTTCTTATTCCATTATCAGAACAAAAAAAATCCTGAGAGATCGTTTGAAATGCGGCCTCAAACGCACGAATATCCAGACTAAACCCGTCACAGTGTAGGAGACTCCCGAGAAACTCCACAGGCTGTCAAACGAAAACCAACACTGAGGGGGCGTGGCCAGGTCCCCGTGTGAGGGTGAGGTGTTGTTATCCCTGGATGTGATCGCTGATTGGACGGATGGTCAGACGTCAGTATGAATTATAAAACCAAAAGGACGGTGATTGGTTTGTTGACAAAGGGCAGAACGCAGTACAGTAGAGAGCAGCCATGTCACGTTTCCTATTGGGAGCAGAGTTTTTTTTTACATTTCTCATTGCATTGCAATTTTGTAAATTTAATAAAATATATATAATTGTCCTCCTACTATAATTAGGCATTACTCTCTGGTTACAATTTTCTCCCAAAATTACCAAGATTGAAATATAGTTTAAAATAAAGCCAGGTAAAATGTAATAATGTGAGTTAATTTATATTTAAATGAAAACTTTATTCATATTATGGAAAGATGTAATTAAAGTTGCTGCTATCAACTATTTTGGATTCTATGTGAACATTTTAAAAGTCACTCAACATAAAGTCATCTGACATAATTTGTTATGTTTAACAAGTCTTAAATGTGTCCCAGATTGAATTAAATCAGCAGCAAATTGGTTCCAATTCCCATTGCCTCATATTCTTCTGATTTTTTGCCATACTTTCCAAACAGACAAAATTCACGTACGGTGCACAAACCTCTTCTGTTCAATCTTAATTTATGAGTACCAACCAATGATTCATGACATCCATATCACAATGTTAAACAGGTGAAAGAATGTTTGAGTGACGCCTACAGAACACTAATTGATTGGTTGATGTGAACAGCTGCTCATAATTAGCACCAATTAAGTGATTCTTGAGAACACTTTAAAAGCAGCTTTGAGTCAAATGAAGGCATGACAGCTTTGCTCTCTTGGAAGACACACACAGCACCAGCAGCAGGTGTGACTTTAGTCATTTTTGGTGGAAGGATGTTATTTTTAAATTCTCTGTACTGTTTTAATATTGTTCCATTTCATCTGCAGTTTCTTAAGTCAAGCTATATCAAGAAGCTATCTATTTATCACACCAAAATGATGTAAGTAGTTGACTATTTCGGCAAAGTCTTTCCTATGATCTAAACCTAACACGAGTTGTGTCTGTAGGATGTTGTGGATTTGTCTGCTGATTGGTAGCATCTCCTGTAGTCCTGTAAATAAAGGTAAGATGATTTG